CACACGAGACAAATTCAGCAGTGAACGTTGAAGGATTTACTATCCAATAAAGGGAACTTCCAAGAAGCTCAGTTAAAACATTGGTTAAAGGTAAAGGTTCCCTTGCTCGAAAGCCAGTCGAATCCGACTCTAGGGTTGTGGTGCTCATCTCCGTTTCAAAGCCGAAGAGCCAGCGCTGTCCGAAGACGTTTCCGTGGTCATGTGGCCAGCATGAATAAACACCAAGGCGCACGGAACGCTGTTACCCTCCCACCGAAGCGGTACCTATTTATCTACTTGCAATTTCTTGCTTTCGAACTGCTAGGTTGGCAGGAAAACATTGGTTACATGGCATTATAGAGGTGTTCATATAATTATATGCAAAAGCAAAACCCTATCCGCGACCGCCAGGTACCCCTACCCTTTACCTCATTGGTGGAAAGGCATCCGGATTTACAATCTTACCCGACAGGCCTACTGAACTGAACTGCCCCTCCCCGCATTCCAGAGCCCCCAGGCTCTATTCCATATTTGATAAATTATGAGTCCTTGCATCTGTAAGCCACCTTCTCTACTAAGCACTGTACGTGGTTTCGATCTAAAAAAAGCTAGCTAGTTTCTTGTTTTCCCATTAAGAGTTGGGTGCTTTTCCCGTAGCCTGTCTTGCGGCTAGCTCGGCTTAGTTCCCCTTTCTTGTAACAGGTGTCTGTTTCTTAACAATTCTGCCTTTGCCATTTCAGCTATATCTACTTCAGCAGGCGAGTATATTTAGCGCACACATGCTCTTAGCTAACAAAAAATGCTTTTTATGATATTAAGATATATTTTGATAATGGAAGGTTGTATCAATCAAAATTATTATTGCCCATCACAACAGGAAGCAGTCTGGAGCTGTGCAGTGCCCACTGCCCATTTTAAAGTTAGAGCAGTTGTATTTTGCTCAGGAGATGAACTGCTCCACTCAGGACAGGGGAAAGAATGAGAGGGAACACTGGAGGGGGGGGGAGCAGATTCTTCTCCCAATCATTTGTTTTCTTCTTTTATACTCTGCCTTTCTCCCTCACCACAACAACCCTGTGAGGTAGGTTAGAGGGTGCAAGTATGTGACTGGCCCAAGGTCACCCAGCAAGTTTCCATGGCAGTACAGGGAGATGAAAATGGCCTCCCCGATGCCTAGCCCACCATTCTAACCACTACGCGTCACTACACCAATTATTAAAAGGTAGGAGTCAATATGGGCCTTCAAGTCTCAAAGCTTCCAGGTGCTCATTCAGCTTGCTGGGATTCAAACAGCCGAGCCCTTTGCAGCACAAAAAAGCCACCGTCACAATGGTCTTTCCTAAGCAATGTAAACAGAGAGACAAAAAACTGCCAATAACTTTCAAGCTGGGAGCATCACAAACTATATCTGACTTCCTTAGTCCTAGAGCAATGATCCATCTCTCATGTTGTCCAACAACCTGTATTAAAAATTTGACCTTGTCCAGCCATAACCAGGGATAGGGATGCCAGCGTCCAGGTGAGGCTGGGGATCACCAGACTTATAGCTCACAGGTAGGGGTTGCCAGGTACCCCCTGGCCACCAGCGGGAGATGAGGAGGGTTGGGTTGCCAGATCCACCCTGGGAAACTCCAGGGGATTTGGGGATGGAGCCTGGGGAGGACAGAGACCTCTTGGGGGTACAATACCGTAGATTCCATCCTCCAAAGCATCCATTTTCTCCAGGGGAACTGATCTCTGTCATCTGGAAAAGGGAAAGGGAAAGGTCTCCGACTCTAGGGGGCGGTGCTCATCTCCATGTCCAAGCCAAAGAGCCAACGCTGTCTGAAGATGTTTCTGTGGTCATGTGGCCAACGTGACTACATGCCAAGGCGCACAGAACGCTGTTACCTTCCGACTGGAGTGGTAACCTATTTATCTACTTGCAGTTTCTTGCTTTCGAACTGCTAGGTTGGCAGGAGCTGGGGTCAGAGACGGGAGCTCACTCCGTCACGTGGCACTCGGGTCTCAAACTGCAGAACTACAAACCTTCCGCTCTGCAGCTCAGCGTCTTAACCTCTGAGCCACCGCAGCCCCTTCTGTCATCTGGAAATGAGCTGTAATTCCAGGGGACCCCCAGGTCCCACTTGGAGGCTGGCATCGCTACCCAGACATCAGTCCCCCTGGACAAAATTGATGCTTTGGAGGGTGAATTCTGTGGCATTGTACCCCACTGAGGTCCCTGTCCTCCCCAGGCTCCATCCCCAAATCTCCCGGAGTTTCCCCAGCCTGGAGTTGGCAACCCTACCTTCCCAGCGGTTGCCATTGGCCATGGGGGACTTGGCAACCCTAAATAAGAATATGAGTCAGTGTTACTAGAGCTCTGGGTATTAGTTCCCATCTTAGGGTGTGTGCAGAGGCCAGAGATAGAAAGCTAGTGTGGATTGGAATGGGGGGGAAAGGTCTTTCCTGGTCACAAAAGAAGCTCGATGAAAGGGGAAGGCATGTTGGAGCAGAAGATGAAAGCCTCTCATCAGTCTGGTTGGCCTTGAATGCCCCCGTGAAGTCACAAGAACAAAGAAAGCCCTCCCCGCTTGTCACTCCACTTGACTAATGCCCTTTCTTGGCTACAGTTTGAAAAAAGACAAAATACACACATGCACAGAAAGCCCGACCCCCCCCCCTCTCATCCCCACCCAGCAAGCTAAATGCTATCCCATACACCTAATCCCTCCCTCGGGAGAGAGACGCTGACAGACTTGAGTCACGTGCGCTAGAAGTTAAGATTGCTGAGCAGGGTTGGGCACAGGCACATTTTATGGGGCTTCTTGCTGGTTCTTTTACATTTCTTTTCTTTTTCTTTACTATCGTTATTACACCCCGGAGGATTCTCCCCCCTGTTCCAGCAGCACAGTGGATAAAGGTCTCTTCCCATGTCACAAAGTCCTTGCATCAATTGAAGGCAGTGTTCAATGGGAGTCTTGTGCCTCCCAAACTCATGTGAGTCTTCCCCCCCCCCTTGCGACTAGGGCACCCAAGCAGCTGCAGCCTTCCCCTCCAGTCTCTGTTCTCCTTCTTACACGGCCCTGTGGAGCCCTTATTGGCTCCACTGTGAGATTTACAAAAGCAGGTCTGTAAGCAATGTAATTTTGCAAGCCCCTACCTTTCCTAACAAAATGGGGCACAATCCACATATGCTATGGTTCACACAGCTGTAATAAGAAGTGCAAAGTGCAGGGGAGGGATTGAAACAGCGTTCACATCCTTGTTTCCCCACTAAGGAATATTTGCATTGCAGTCCCATGGCCAGCTCCTGATTTTTGTGGATACCCAGACTAGAAACCGTTAATGCCTCCTCCAGCACATCAGGAAGTTTTCTGAGATCTTCACTTTTGGCTAGGGATGCCACAGATTTCATGCTAAACACGTTTGAGGGTTGATCTTACTTGTATACTTATTTTATTTACTTTGTTCGTACTCTGCATTTCTCACTGAGACTCAGAGCAGTTTACACAAAGTAAGGCCCATTACACACGCACATTTTACTGCAGATTTTCAGAGCAGTAAGCCTTTAATCTTTGGATTCTGTGCCCACCTTACGCACCATTCTTTTTTCTCCAGTGTATTCTGCAGCTATGATTTTAAAAATGCACTTTTCTATATCAGGGTGGAATGTCACTTACTTGTAATGTGCAGGGGGTGGCATCCATTTTTTTTTTAATTTATGCAATTGCCCTATCACAGTTGCACAGTAGCATCCAGCAAACACCTTCCATTTAAATCCTTGTGATTCAGGTTTTGCGCATGCATTTAGCATTAGTTTGTTGAATGAAAGGGAACAGAAAGGAACACAGGCAAAGGGGGAAAGCCACTGTTGAAATTGACCAGACTTTTTTTGGAAACTGACAAGCAGCTGTGAAGCCCCATTTTCCATACTGCCAAGCACAAGAGTATTCTCTGCTGTGTTATCAGACACTGTGAAAAATGGGAAAGTAGTCACACATCTCAAAATATGGGGTAACATGTTGAATGTACAGGATGCATGGTAGAATCCAGTGTCACTGGCATTACAAGCTGTGATCATTGGCAATGTGTATGCGTGTGCACATGCACACCTGTGCAAAGTCAGCTGCAACTCCACCACGCTTTGCACAGGACTGCAATTTGTATGGGAGAGGAGTCCTCTGGCAGAAGCTCTGGAGAGCTTTTTTAGTCTTGTCCCACTAAATTGAAAAGTGTGTGTGGGGGGAGTATTTTCACCGATGCCCTAGTGCAGCTGCATAATAATGCTAATTTCCTGCCCTTCCTTCCAAATTCATGTGATTTTCTTTTTGTGATTCTCTAATTTGATCTTGCACACTGGTAATGATTTTGGCAGTTTTTTAAAGCCTGTCCTGTGCAGATTGAACTCTTTCTCCAAATGGATCGATCCCAAGTGATTGTTAAGTTTGACAGTTCGCAGGAGGTCCATGTGGCTCAGCTGCCATTTTAATGTTAGGCTTCCAGAGACTGCCAAAACAGTCCCTCCCCCCCAAAAAAAACCCCTTTGTTCACTAAAGTGCATTGATTCTGAACATGCTTAATGCCCCCCCTCACACTTCCCTGCTCCTCCACCTCTGACCTCTCAAACCTTTGTTTGTTTTTTGTACTGTGGTTTAGCTTGCTTTCCTGTTTCTGTGAATCCTTTTTCTAAAACAATTTAAACCTGGTTTTGCAAGAGAGGCCCCTTTGTGCTCACACATGTTTTAGGCTCCCAGGGAATTTTGCAAGGGGCCCAAATCTGGTTTGTCACCCATCACTGTCACCTGCCAAACAGCCTAGAGGAGTACTCTGATTAGATGCTGGCAGAAGGGGTTTTGGATTTCTTCATGTTGATTCAAGGGTGGGACTTCTTTGTCTGGATCTTATATAAAAAGTTTCCCTCTCTAGCCTTCCTATTGGCTGATAATGCAGCCAATGATTTGGCAGCATGGGGGTGTCCCTTAACTTGTGGGCAAGACTTCTGATGTGCTTGAAAATGCATAAATACTCAGCTATTGGAATGGTGAAGGGCTGAAGCAGAGACATACCAAATTTTTCCTGAAGAGTCCAGATGGCTTCCACCACTTGCCTTACCCTCCCCTCTGGGAAGCGGATGCCTCAGCTTGGCCTGGGGACGTGGCTGGTAAGCACTTTGTTCAGCTTCCTTGCAGTCTGTCTGTCTGTCTCTCTCTGTTTCTTTGCTACCCGCCCTAGTGCGAGAGGGGAGGCGCGTTATTCAATAGCTTCTCCCTTGTCAATCTCTCTGATGGGAAAGATTTGATGCTGCCGTCATACTCGATGTGCCGGAGAGGGGAGGTATTGGCAGCAGAGAAGAGATGAGTTGGACACAAAAGAAATATAATGTGTGAATGACACATGGATGCCATATGCTGACTGGAACATGAAATCTTTGAGCCCATTTTGGGACTCTAGGTTTTAACGTTCTGGGCTTCTTGGGCCAAACTACACATTACACACATGTGCATGCCATGATGGTATAATGATCTTCTAGGAAGGAGCAATTAAGTATAGAGAAGAGGGGTTATGCCTGCCATCTTCTCAATCCAGCACACCCCTCCCGTTAGCAGCCTTTTGCCTATAGGGTTTCGGATGCACGCTTGCAACAAAATCTCTCTTGGACACGATGGTTTGTATCTTCAGTATTCAATATGTATATTTTCAGTCTGGTGGGAGATAAGAATGTGTCGAACCATATTCAGAGTCTTTGCCTTGAAGAAAACAGGTCAATCCCATGTTTTTATAATTTAGTATTAGGAAGTAGCTCAAGTGGTTAAGATGCTGAACTGCAGGCTGTGGAAGGTCAGTAGTTCAGCAGTTCGAGACCCGAGTTGCCGCATGACGGAGTGAGCTCCCGTCTCTAGTTCCAGCTCCTGCCAACCTAGCAGTTAGAAAGCAAGAAATTGCAAGTAGATAAATAGGTACCACTTCGGTGGGAAGGTAACAGCGTTCCGTGCGCCTTGGCGTTTAGTCATGCCGGCCACATGACCACGGAAACGTCTTCAGACAGCGCTGGCTCTTCAGCTTTGAAACGGAGATGAGTCGGATTCGACTGGCTTTCGAGCAAGGGAACCTTTACCTTTACTTTACCTTCCAAGCAGGCTGGAGCCCCAGCAGCCCTCAATGCCGTTGTGTATTGTGGATATATGAATGAGTTATTCCAGAAATTGTGAAAAAGAAAAGTGGCCTGGAAACGCACTCCTATGCAACTGCCAGTCCCATACGTGGCAGAATAATTCTTACAGAACTGGGAAAAGTACAGAAGATGGTATCCAGGGAGCTTCCACACACATGTGATTGATTCCCCATTGTGTAGAAGCATTGTTGCTGCAAAGGCAGAAACATTTGCAGTAGGAACAAAGCACCCATCCTGGGTGATTCCCCATTCTTTCATCCTCCTCATTCCTCCTGTTCCCCTTCCACATGCTTCTAGAGAGCTTTTTGCTAACTTTTAAAACAATCATAGTAGGTATATCATTTATTTATTTATTTATAGTTTCGATTCCTATACCGCCCTTGACCCCGGAGGGTCTCAGAGCAGTTTACAGAAGATATATATATATACCAATTATACCTAATCTAGGGCCACAATTCATTTTTGGGAGGGGGCTACCTACCAGCACCCAGCGGCATGCGTTCTGTTGCTGTTGCTTTTTTCTCTCCGGGCAGCTTCTGATGTTACTTCCAGCGCTTCGGATGGGCCGACGGGCCGATCGCATCCTCGGCAGGCTTCAGCTGGTGTTCTTTTTGACGCGCAGCTGCTCCCGACGCAGCTCGGCTAACGTCCTTCAGGCTCCGCCGTGCTGCGTCATTAAAATGTTATAGCAATATAGATAAAGGTAAAGGTTTCCCTTGCTCGAAAGCCAGTCGAATCCGACTCTAGGGTTGTGGTGGTCATCTCCATTTCCAAGCCGAAGAGCCAGCACTGTCCAAAGATGTTTCCGTGGTCATGTGGCCGGCATGACTAAATGCGCACGGAACCTTCCCACCGAAGCAGTGCCTATTTATCTACTTGCAATTTCTTGCTTTCAAACTGCTAGGTTGGCAGGAGCTGGAACCAGAGTTGGGAGCTCACTCTGTCATGCAGCACTCGGGTCTCAAACTGCTGAACTACCGACCTTCCAGCCTGCAGCTCAGCATTTTAACCACTTGACCCACCACAGCTCCTATAGCAATATACCTAGTACTAATTATTAGTAAAAGCTGGCAAAAAGCCCCTGTGGGAAGGGAAATGGTAGGCATGACGGGATCAGGAAGGGAAATGCCCTGGATATAGGCAAGGAGGTTTGGGAAATCTAGATCTTTCCATCCATACTGTGGACTGGTTTGATTCGGATAGTTCCAGAAGGATTGGCACATACCCTGAGAAATCACTGAGGGTCACAAGAAGAGCAGAGGTGCTTCCAAAGACCCTGCGCCCATTTGTGAGCCAACGTGCAGGAAATCCACTGTGTGGAGACAGCCCCAGATGGTGGCTGAAGCACCTTCCCTGCAAGGAAAGGTTAAAATATCTGGGGCTTTCAAATTTAGGGGGAAAAGACAACTGGGGGCATTGTTCCCTCTAAGCTGTGGAGTCTTGTGAGCAAAAGTTCTTCTTTGTGAGCTGCGGGCATTAAAGTTGTGAGCAAGCAATTTGGCTACTGCATAAATTAGTTTGCTCTGGAGACACCTTCCTGAGCCAAGACAAATATGTGTGAGCCAGGGGCTAAAAAACTGTGAGCTGGCTCACACTAACTCAGCTTAGAGGGAACACTGACTGGGGGTAGGTCAGAGGTTTGTACAACTGGTGCTTGTTGTGGAGAAGGTGGATAGAGAGACATGTTTCACCTCATAACGTTGGCATTTGTGGTCACCAAATAAAATGTGTTGACAGGAGTTGCTTCCAGGGCAGAAAAAAAAGTGTATAATTACTATTTAGAATTCACTGCCACAAGACATAATGGTAGCCAGTACCTTAAATGGCTTGGAAATATATAGCACCCTTTTATGGAAGAAGGATAGAATCAGGTGGGTAGCCATGTTGGTCTGAAGCAGCAGAAAAAAGTTTGAGTTGCAGCAGGTTCTAGTGTAAAACACACACACACTCTTTGTTATGGAGGAGGATAAGTTTATCAATGGCTATTAGCTACACAGCTAAACAGAACCTCCATGTTTAGAGGAAATATCCTCTGAACGCCAGATGACATGGAAGAAGAACCTCTGAAGGTTTTTCCAGTCTCTAGGGTTGCGGTGCTCATCTCCGTTTCCAAGCCGAAGAGCCAGCGCTGTCCGAAGATGTTTCCGTGGTCATGTGGCCGGCATGACCAGGGCTCTAGTGGGGGGGGGGCTCTCAGGTACGGAGCTCCGGAAGAGAACCTCTAGGGGGCGGGGCGGTCATGTGGTGAAGCCCCGCCCCCTTCTTTACCCCGCCCTCTGCTTCGATCCTCATTCCGTTTGGGAATGAGGATGAAGCAGGAGGGTAAGTAGCCGGGCCTTCTGACACCCTTCCGGTGATGTCAGGGGGTGTGGCCTTCTGTCACTTCCGGTGATGTCAGGGGGCGTGGCCTATGCAAATAAGTTATGCTAATGAGTTATGCTAATGAGCTCCGGCAGCTCTTTTTCTACAACAAGACCCCTGGCCCTGGGCCTCATAGGCTATGCACACGGTGTGGTATCGACAGCACATCAGCCTTGGGCACACACACACCCCTTACCAGTCATGTGCCATGCACATGACTGCTTCTGAGTTTTAAAGCCTGATCTAGAGGTTTCTTGTCTCTTCCAGGAAGGACTTCAGTGCTGTGATCAGGCCTGGTTGTTCCTTTGTATTATATGCCTAAAGATGCATTCCAGTCAGTGTGAAATTGTGGTGCATAAGGGAAAAGTCTGGTGTTTCTAGGCCTAGAACAGATTTAGGGCTGCCATCTCTAGCCTGGGAGAGTCCTGGATATTTAGGGGTGGTGCCCAGTGTTCCCTCTAAGCTGAGTTAGTGTGAGCTAGCTCACAGTTTTTTAGCCTCCAGCTCACACATTTTTGTCTTGTCTCAGGAAGGATGGCTCCAGAGCAAACTGATTTATGCAGTAGCCCAATCGCTTGCTCACAACTTTAATGCCAGTAGCTCACAAAGTAGAATTTTTGCTCACAGGACTTAGAGGGAACATTGGTGGTGCCTGTGGAGGGGGGAATCTGGGGAGGGATTTCACTTAGAATCTATGGAGTCTGCCCTCTGAAGCTGCCATTTTCTCCAGGGGAACTGATCTCCATGGTCTGGAGAACAGTTGTAATTCCAGGAGACCTGCAAGCCCCACCTAAAGACTGGGAACACTAGTCCCAACAATCTAGGGAGAAAGCACTTTTGTTCCCTAAGGAAAAGTTGAGCCCAGTTTGTGAAGGATTATCTGGGTAGCAGAGTGCTCAAGGCACATAACGCAGCAGAGCACACCTGGTTAGTGTGTGCCAGCGAGAGACAGAGTTACACACGGAGCCTCTTTAACTTTGCAAACTAAAATGAGTCCTTTATTGTAAGGAACTCCATTCTAGGCAGGATAGGAATAGGATTCTAATTTAGTCTAACTAACTAGGATGGATAGAGATGCCGGAATCACGTCCTGCCCTCATGGTGCCAAGATGGAGAAGAGAAACACAGTGTGGAGAGAAGGTGTGGAAGGAAGGAAGATTGCCTGAGAATAGCAATCTACACAGAGAGTAAAGGAAGGATAGATCAGTGTCTTGGCCTTTCTGTCTCTCTGAGTCTCTTATAGATCCCCTCTGAAGTCTGAGGCTTAAGAGACAGCACGAAGTCCTTCGCTTCCAATAGTTTGTAGATTCCTACATCTCCATGGCTCAGCATGAGGGAGAAGTACTGGAGAAGCTGGCAATCTGCCCCACACATTCTCTTTTTTCCAGTCCCTACCTTGCCCTGAGGGCCATGAGCTAATGGCCCAGGCTAGCTTGATGTCATCAGACCTCAGAAAGTAAGTAGGGTTGGCCCTGGTTAGTATTTAGATTGGAGATCACCAAAGAATTCCAGGGTTGCTATGCAGAGGCAGTCATGGCAAACCAACTCTGTTCATCTCTTCCCTATGAGGTCTCCGTAAGTGGACTGTGACTTGACACTTGACAATACTTTCTACCACCACCTTGCCC